GGCTCAGGTCATAATCCCAGGGTCCTGGGATTGAGCCCCTCATTGGGCTCCCTGCTCAGTGGAGAGCCTGCTTCTCCCTCTCCCACTCCCCCTGCTTGTGTTCCCTCTCTCGCTGTGTCTCTCTCTGTCAAATAAATAAATAAAATCTAAAAAAAAAAAAAAAAACTGAAAAATAAGAAAACTCCTCCAAAGTAAAAGTGGGCAAAAGGCTGGAATAGGCACTTCACTAAAGAAGAAATACAGATGGCAAATAAGCATATGAAAAGATGCTCAACATTATGTGTCATTAAAGAATTGCAAATTAAAACGAGATACACCATACACCTATCAGAATGGCTGAAATCTAAAAAACTGATAATACCAAACATTGGAGAGGATACAGTACAACAGGAACACTCATTCATTGCTGGTGGAAACAAAATGGTACAGCCATTTTTTAAAAAGTTTAATTATTTAAGTAATCTCTACACTCCATGTGGGACTTGAACTCACAACCTGGAGGTCAAGAGTCTCATGCTCTTCTGACTGAGCCAGCCAGGCGTGCTGGTACAGCCACTTTGGAAGACAATTTGGGCAGTCTCACCATTTGATAAAGCATTTGTGCTCCTACTTTTTACTAAAGTCAGTTGGGAACTTACGCCTACCCAAAATCCTACACATGGATGTTTATAGCAGCAGTCTTCATAATGGCCAAAAACCGGAAGCAAGGTAAAAATAGGTGAATGGATGACAAACTGTGGTACAACCATACAATGGAATATTATTTAGCAGTAAAAAGAAATGACTTATCAAGCCACAAAAAGACATGGAGGAACCTTAAATGCATATTGCTAAGTGAAAGAAGCCAATTAGAAAAGGGTACATGCTGTACGACTCCCAACTATACAACATTTTAGAAAAGACAAAACTGTAGAGACATAAAAAGGCCAGTGGTTGTCAGGGTTTTGAGGAGAGGGAGGGAGGGATGAATAGGTGTAATACAGGGGATTTTTAGAGCAGTGAAACTATTCTTCATGATACTGTATGTACATGATGTTATACATTTATCAAAACCCATAGACCTGTACAACACAAAGAATGAACCTTAATGTATACTGTGGACAACACATTAATAATAATTTATCAGTACTGGTTCATTAAATGTACCACACAATACAAGATGTTAGTAATATGGAAAACTGCAGGGGAAGGGGTAAGCATGTAAGAACTCTCTATGCAATCAGCTTAATTTTTCTGAAAATCTAAAATTTTATTTTTTATTTTTATTTTTTTAAAGTTTTATTTATTTATTTGACAGAGAGAGAGCACAAGCACGGGGAGTAACAGGGAGAGGGAGAAGCAGGCTCCCTGCTGGGCACGGAGCCCCATGCAGGGCTCAATCCCAGGACCCTCGGATCATGACCTGAGCCAAAGGCAGGACGCTTAACCATCTGAGCCACCCAGGAACCCCCCAATCTAAAACTTTTGAAAAATAAAATCGAGGGGCGCCTGGGTGGCTCAGTCGTTGGGTGTCTGCCTTCGGCTCAGGTCATGAGGATTGAGCCCCGCATCGGGCTCCCTGCTCGGTGGGGAGCCTGCTTCTCCCTCTCCCGCTCCCCCTGCTTGTGTTCCCTCTCTCGCGTGTCTCTGTCAAATAAATAAATAAAATCTTAAAAAAAAGAAAAAAAACTGATTAAAAAAAATCACTCCGGAAGCAGTGCAGAGAGTGGACTGACAAAGTACAGGAAATGCAGGCAAGCACACCAGTTTGGAGGTTATGCTTTCACTCTCATGAACAGAATATGAGAGTCTGTATTTATTCATATTTTTGCCAAAAATGGGTATTGTGATTGTTAGTAAAAACTAACTTATTCAAGGAGCACTTGGATGACTCAGGCAGTTAAGCATCAGACTCTTGATTTCGGCTCAGGTCATGATCTCAGGGTTGTAGGACTGAGTCCCACATCCAGCTCCTCACTGGGTGTGGAGCGTGCTTAAGACTCTCTCTCTCCCTCTCTCTCTTCCTCACCCCTGCATGCATGTGTGCTATCTCTCTCTCTCTCTAAAGAAAACAAAAAACGACAACAAAAAACAACTTATTCTAGTTCATATTTTCTTAATGACTAATGAGGCTGAGCATCTTTTCTTTTTTTAAAGATTTATTTTTTTGAGAGAGAGAAAGACAAAGACAGAGACAGAGATAGGGAGAAGCAGGCTCCATGCTGAGCTGAAGGCAGACGCGTAACTGACCAAGCCACCCAGGTGCCCCTGAACATCTTTTCATAAGATAACTGACCATTTGTTTTTCTGTTTTATGTCCTTTGTCTATTTTTCAGTTGAGTTGTTTGTTCTCTCCCTACTATAAATTCTTTGAGTTTAAATAAAACTTTCTGTATTTTATCACAGCTTTAAAAATATCTTTTGAATTTTATAGCTATCATTTATAATCATTGCATATTATTTCATCAATATACTGTAACTTATTGTTTAAAATCAGTTAATAGTTTTTTTAATATCACAGATGCCATTATGAAAATTTGTACACACAGATTTTTCTCCATTATGAATTCTTTCCATTGAACACCTTTTTGTAATTGAAAATACTGAATCACAAACTAAAAACACATGTTAATACTTTTGATAGAAACGATATTAGCAATTTATTCTGCTGAGGCGTGTGGGTGGCTGAGTCAGTTAAGCACCTGGGACCCTTAATTTTGGCTGAGGTCATGATCTCACAGTCATGAGATCGAGCCCCCATGTTGGACTCTGCAATCAGAGTGGAGTCTGCTTGAGATTTCCTCTCCTTCTCCCTCCTCCCACCTGGCTTGTATGCATGCGCACTTCTCTCTCAAATAAATAAAAGCTTTTAAAAATATTTTTATTGGGGTGCCTGGGTGGCTCAGTTGGTTAAGTGTCTGCCTTCGGCTCAGGTCATGATCCTAGGGTCCTGGGTTTGAGCGCCGCCATAAGGCTCCCTGCTTAGGAGGGAGCCCACTTGTCCCTCTCCCTCTGCTGCTCCCCCTGCTTCTGCTCTGTCAAATAAATAAAATATTTAAAAAAATGTATATTACCATCAGCAATATATTAAAATTCTAGATTCACTGCATCCTCACAAGCGCTAAATATTATAATATTTAAATACATCTGCTAATTTAGTAACATAAAAGTTTTCTTTTTATTTACTTGTAGTTTTCTTTACCTATTAGTGAAAACCAACCTTTCTATATATTTACTGGTTTTGTTTTTCCTTGAGAAATTCTGGTTTATATTCTTTGCTCATTAATCTAAAAGGACATAAGGATTTTTTCTTCAATCACAATAACAGATCTATACAGGTATTTTAATAAACTAGCCCTTTTTTGTCTGCATTTGCAGCAAATATTTTTTAGATTCTATTGGTTTCCATTTATTTATTTATTTGGTTTCCTTTTAATTTTAGTTATATATTTGTGACATAGAGAAAACTGAAATTTTATGCAGTAAATCTAACAATTGTCTTTTGTGAACTAGTCTATCATTTCTAAACTTAAATGATTATACTCCATTCAGTAGCTTGAAAATTATCCTTTCTTTGTATTTTTCTACAATTCAATGATTTACGTTTAACTTATTAATCTCACTAAATTTAAATTTGTTTACAAAAATAATAGCTATCATTTGCTGAGTAGTCATTATATAACAGGTACTATTCCAGACCCTGTTTATATATGTAAATTTTTTAAAAAAATTTTATTTATTTCTCTGACAGAGAGAGTGAGCATAAGCAGGGGGAGCGGCAGGCAGAGGGAGAGGGAGAAGCAGGCTCCCCGCCAAGCAGGGAGCCCAATGCGGGGCTTGATCCCAGACCCTGGGATCATGACCCGAGCCAAAGGCAGACGCTTAATGACTGAGCCATTCAGGCGCCCCTATGTATGTAAATTTATTTCATCCTTACAACTACCCTGTATAGATTAGTTATTTTTAGTATCCCAATTTCTAAGATGAGAAAACAAAAGCCTAGTGTGGTTAAGTAATTCAGCTAGATCATATAGATAGTATATCTGGCAGAACCTGGGTCTTATGCAGAATTGTCTGACTCCAGAGCCTGTGCTCCGCTCGCACCTTTAAAGATTTTTTATTTGAGAAAGAGAGACAGAGAGAGCAAGAGCAAGAGTGAGAGCCAGTGGAGGGCAGGGGGAGAGGGAGAGAGAGAATCTCAAGCAGACTCCCTGCTGAGAGCAGAGCCTGACACGTGGCTTGATCCAATGACCATGAGATCATATCAAGAGCTGGATGCTTAACTGACTGAGCCTTCCAGGTGCCCCTGGAGTCTGTGCTTTTAACCACTATATTATATTGATATCCAAGTTATCTTAATGCAATTTTTATTTTGTTTTTTATTATTTTTAAAGATTACTTATTTATTTATTTGAGAGAGAGAGAAAGAGAGAGCACAAGCAGGGCGAGCATCAAGCAGAGGGAGAGTGAGAAGCAGGCTCCCTGCTGAACGAGGAGCCTGATGTGGGGCTCCATCCCAGGACCCTGGGATCATGACCTGAGCCGAAGGCAGACGCTTAACCAACTGAGCCACTCAGGCATGCCTCTTAATGCCATTTTAAAGAAATAATTCTTTAACCATTGTTCTGTGATGCCTCCTTTACTAAAATTCTTTTTTTTTTTAAAGATTTTATTTATTTATTTGACAGAGAGAGACATAGTGGGAGAGGGAAAAGCAGGCCTCCCGCAGAGCGGGGAGCCCGATGCGGGGCTCGATCCCAGGACCCTGGGATCATGACCTGAGCCGAAGGCAGACGTTTAACAACTGAGCCACCCAGGCGCCCCTAAAATTCTTTTCACAGCATCTCTTTTGGACTAGTTTGCTCTACTGATTTGTCTTTTTAAAGTAACCATACATGGTTTTAAATATTGTAGCTATTAAAATATGTTTTAATGTTTCAAAGTTTTAGGATATGTTTTAGCAAAATTTTAAAAGGAATACCAAGTACTTGAGGAAAAATGCAATCTTAAGATATTCTTACCATACACTGGTGTCTTTCCTGGCAGGATGACAATAATGAGCTGTAGCCCAGAGTAGGTGTTCTTGAGATGCCGGAACATGGGCTCCACGCTGTCTGCCCCCTGCGCATATTTGCAGAAGCAAGGCTGGCCCTGGATGGGCATCCCTGCATCTTTAGAAATCTTACGTAGCTGGTCCGTGAAACCCCTAGGAGGAGAAATCACTAAAACTAAATCCTTTGTTTAGTCATCCACACCTACAAAGTGGAATGGAAAGTTTGAGAAGTGAATGGAGAATAAAGCAAAGATTTGTGTGCTCCATATGTGAAGAGGTCACCAAGACTACTGATATTAAAGGTGGTGGTGGGTTAGTAATCTATTGTGCAAACTAGGAACACTGCTATATAATTATGTGGCATTCTGTAGTTTACAAAGGGCATTCGTAATAGAGTATGCTGATTAAGAATTCAGTTCTAGAGTTGGCAGGACAGGTTTCAATCCTAGTTCTGTTACTTAGTAGCTGTGAAATTGTAGACAAATTCTTCAGTTTCTCTCATCTGTAAGATGGTTACTTCCATTATAGGGTTGGTGTCAATATTAAATGACATAATACATGAACTTAGCAACACTGCCCAAGACATGATAAGAGCTTCATAAATTTAATCTACTGTACATTTTCTAATTTGATCATGATGACATTCGTAAGAAGGTGGTAAGTGAGGTATTATTTCCATTTTATAGATCAGGAAACAGTTTCAGGGACATTAAGTATCTGACCAATGTCAAATGGTTAGATAAATGGTAGAGTCAGAAGTATGATCTAGTCCAGAATTTCTTTCCACAATATTATGTATCTGAAACTAGGATGGCAGGAAAGATTGTATTCTCAGAAAAGATTAAAAAAAAAAAAGAAAACCACATTTAAAAACAAGTGAGGCAGGCAGCACTTCAATGTACTTTTAGCCACACTAAAAACAACAAAAGACTAATAATTCCATATTTAAACAAAATTCTGCATTTAGCCTAAGTGAGTAATGTTGTCATGATTTAACAATCACTTTACTTGTTTTTAAAACAAGTAACATCCTAAGTCAAGGATCTGAGTTATCTTTGCTCAAAAATACTCATTCCCTCAGAGCTGAAGTTTATAGGAATTCCCTTCTCCTTTTCCTTATTAGTGTTTAATTCAAGAAGTATGAAGTTGGATATTTTCAGTCAGCTTGAACAAGAACCACAAGCCGAAAGAGTATGAGAGTCCTATCAAGCCATAAATAACAAATGTAAAATGAAAAGAATAACTCTAAGCTTGAAAAACAATTGGAGATATTTTCTTTGGCCTCTGGAGGTCAAGTAAGATGATCACAGCATTGTAGTAAACTGTCCTTATGACATTTTACTTGAAAGCAGGGGGATAAAAACTTCTGAGCAAAATGTACATTAAGTGAACCTTAAGATATACATTTAGAAATTTGGAGCTAATAAAAAAAAGTGAACAGAATTAAATAGAAAAAGTTTTTTATTTCTCATATGAAGAAGGTAAGGCAAATTCTGAATTGGCTTGGTTGGTAAATTGGCCTCTGTATCTTTCAAGAACTATTCATAATGGGCATACCCTCTAGGATCTATTAGTGGAGATTTAAATTAGACAATAATCATTTTCTCAAGCAAATTAGATTTTGGGGGAGTCAATTTACATAAATAATCACAGTACAAATGTATTTTATGCAGAAGGTGACAAGAGCAAATAGAGAAGATACTGATAAACTAGTATGTTTAGAGTTAAGATAGATTATTTCCACCATCACAAATCACAGAAGATTGGGTATTATTTAGAGAAGTAGGGATAGGAAGGAGGCATTTTCAGTAATAAGCAGCATGATTGGAAAGAGAAAGAAAAAAAATGCCAGAGAGAAAGAGCGAACACAGTGCTTCAGTTTCTTTGTCTAGAATATGGGAAAATGAAGAAGGGGCTTAAGAGGCAGGTGAAAGATTTTCAATGTCCTACTGATTTTTATTGTTATTCTTTGTTAAGAGAAGTCTAAAAATTTTGGGGGGGGTAGTCACAAGTGGAGGTGGTACTCTTTCATGACAGCCTGGCTGCTCAACAGGAATGAGAGCAGAAGCCTTTGAGATTGCCAAAGTCTCAAAGACTTGAGGGTCCCAAGGAGAGGAGACAGAGAAGAAGAGAAGCCAAAGTGATAAAAAGGAACCAGGAAGGCAAGAATGGAGAGAATGTGTGTTTTTTTTTTAAAGATTTTATTTATTTATTTGAGAGAGAGAGAATGAGAGATAGAGAGCACGAGAGGGAAGAGGGTCAGAGAGAGAAGCAGACTCCGTGCTGAGCAGGGAGCCTGACGCGGGACTCGATCCCGGGACTCCAGGATCATGACCTGAGCCGAAGGCAGTCGCTTAACCAACTGAGCCACCCAGGCACCCCAAGAATGGAGAGAATGTTAAGAAGGTAGTCAACTGTATTTAATGCTGCACAAATTCTGAGAAAAATAATGGCTAAGGAAAGACTATTAGAATTGATAAGCACAAAGATGTTGGAGATTTCCAGAAGCTAGTTTCAGCAGAGCACTAGGATTTCAAGGAGGGTAAGAAAACAGAAGTCTAGAACCCTGAAATAAGTTAGGTAAAATGAGAAAATTGACAGATTTTTTTGTTTGTTTTAAATTTGAACAGAAGATTACTGAGCACTTACATGCTGAGGTAAAGAATCTGGGATACAGGGAACGTGGTGGAGATGGAGGCCAAATTTTTGGAAGTAAAGAAGTGAAAATGAAGAGTTAAGTCACTCTTTCAAGGAGCTCAATTGAGAAATAAGGACCTTCTTTAATCCTCACCTAAGAGGTAGGTATTGTTATCTCTAAAAAGGTGAAAACTGAAGCATAATGAAATTAAATAAATTATTCATGGTAATAAAAGCTAGGAATTGGCAAGGCTGGGAATTAAACCTAACCTATTTGCCATCAAAAGCCAATGATGCTCCTATACCTCATAAGCTAGATTGTTAGGATGCCTAGAAGAATGAATCAATGACTTGACTAATAAATCTCCATCAAACTATTGAGAAGAAACATTTTCAGAAGTTCAGTGATTAAATATATTCCATATTGAGGCAACACTGGTTAGAACATTAGCTGAGTAGTTTAAAGTTGAAACACAAAATTGAAACACAAAAAGTTCCCCAAACCAAACTAATGACATGCCTTACTTCAGTATTTCTTCTCTGCACTGCCTCTGCGTGGCAAAACAAGCTATAGCCCACATTTTTATCTCAACTCCTGTGTGAAACTGCTTCCCCCGCATGTCCCATACTCCATGGCTTGGTGTTGCTACTGTCCGATTCTACAGAAAAAGGAGAAAGAGAAATAAGGCAAAAAAGAAGAAACACTTAAAATACAATTTCTTTCACTGAGCTGAAAAGAAAAACATTTCAAACTGCTGAATTGATAAATATCTGATAATCTACATGTAATACACTGATCTAAATCAATATTACTTATATTTTTTATCATACAAACCAAAAATTCTAAACTCAAGCAAAGATACCTTGAAACAAAAAAGTACTGTTGGAGCAAAAAAAACCACTTTCCAAAACTCAGACTTAGCTAGGATGCTCTTCTCTCTGTAAACAGAAACTGTATGTTTATAATTAAAAAACTATCAAGAGGTTTTACCCGTCCTCCATACTGCAGCATAGGTGCTGGAAGTACACGTCCGGTTACGTGGGCCATTTCATCCCGAACTTTAAATTGAAACTCCTGAACAAATGGATCTGTTTCATAATTTGCACTTCTTACCTAATAGAAAAAATTCGTAGTTACTTTCAGAATTTCTTCCAAGCCCCTGCTTCATTCGTTAGAAACCTCCATTTTCTTTTCTTCACTGTGTCCACAATGTTTTGGATCTAGTCAATGATGCCCTAACTATAGGACAGGGAATCTTAACCTGGGTTGACAGATCATGAATGGACTGTAGGAAGTCTGTGAACCTCCTGGTAATTTACAAAAATTTAAATGTATTAGGTTGAATAATAAGAAATTTCAACTATTTACAATCCGTGAAGATGCCAATTTTATATGATTAAACCTAATGCATTTAGGAGAGGGTGGCCTAGAGATTACAGGAGAAAGAAATTTCTGACTTAAAAAATGTTAAGAACTTCAATTAGAAAATCCAGACACGTATTATTAAAATTTATTTTACACAGAGTTTGACAGCAGATATTGATGATCTTAAGGCTTTTTTTTCTAATTACTTGATTTACAACTTATATAAAATTACTTGAATATTTCCAGATAAAAAGGGCCATATTATAAAATTTACTTAATGTGATACATTTGAGACAGATAAGAAAGCCAATATGATACAGATGATAATTTTTACATAATATATCTGTAGTTACAAAGATAAAGAACTTTTTTTTTAAAGATTTTTATTTATTTGACAGAGAGAGAGACAGTGAGAGAGGGAACACAAGAAGGGGGAGTGGGAGAGGGAGAAGCAGGCTTCCCGCTGAGCAGGGAGCCCGATGCAGGGGCTCGATCCCAGGACCTTGGGACCATGACCTGAGCCGAAGGCAGACGCTTAACGACCGAGCCACCCAGGTGCCCCAAGAATTTTTTTTTTTAATTTAAATTTTGTTAGTTAACATACAGGGCAATACTGGTTGATAAAGAATTTATTTTGGGACACCTGGGTGGCTCAGTCACTTAAGCGTCTGCCTCCGGCTCAGGTCATGATCCCAGGGTCCTAGGATCAAGTCCTGCATCAGGCTCCTTGCTCAGCAGGGAGCGTGCTTCTCCCTCTGCCTGCCGCTCCCCTCTGCTTGTGTGCTCTCTCATGCTGACAAATAAATAAATAAAATCTTAAAAAAAAAAGGATTTATTTTAATTCAGGATAGACTTGGACCTCAGAATATAATTCATGTTTACAGCATGCTAAGTAACTGTGTTTTTCAAAACATATTTACTTGGTCTGAGAGTAAAAGTCAAATGAGGTTACAAAATGAAGGCAGTGTTCAAGTGTTTGAGTAACAATCCATTAAAAAAAAACTACATAATCTAAATATGTAGAAAAGAATCTCCACAATAAGCAGGAATGGTTGTTTTCTAAGGTTAGGCACTAATGGTTCTTTAAGCTTAAGTGGCATTCATTTCTGGTGTGTTTTAGTGTATATTCATAGTAAGGTTACAAAGAGTAATAACTACTATAAATAAAAACCTGCCGCATGATGTGCTTGGCGTTAACTTTCATAATTAATTTCCACAATAACCTTATAACTATAAAAGGAGATTTTTTTTTAAATAATCTTTACAGAGGATAAATCTAAAAATTAGTAAAGCCTAAAAACCATCTAGCCAAGCAAGTGACACAGAATCTGAAACCGCGTATGTTCTGATTCTAGAGTTCTTACTCTCAGTCACTGCACTAGTCTTCTGGATGCTATAATTGTAATAACACAATAGTAACAGTAAGGAAGCGAAGAAGATAGACTTTGGACCCAGAGCTGTTAGATTCCACAGCCTGTGCTTTTAGCCATTGTACAATATTATCTCTTAGGAAGAAAAGTTATAATAAATGAGTTAGAAGTAGTTATTGAGATTTTACAGAGACAGTGAGAGGTTTAGCCTCTTATAGGCTTTAAAATCCTGTCACAATAGATCAGAAAAAAAATCCATGATGAAAACCAACCCATATTCTCCTAAATAAATATCATATAATAACTTTTATTTATTCTTTATAAAATCATATGGGAAAAAGGCTCTTTTTCCCTGTAACTGGCTTACAAAATGAAAGGGCCAGTTCCATAACCCTTTTATAACAATCTTCACTATTACCCAAAGTCATATTCCTATTTCTAGACTTTTTTCTCGTTACTTGCACAATACAAATGGTATTCAAAAAGAGAGTAAGGTAAGATCCAGGTGGCTTTTATTTTTCATTTTGCCTTACTCCATCAGTTTTATAAAGTGGTACTGATACTCTTCCTTCCTATCCATTTAGAACAATGATACAGCTCAGAGACCCTACATGTTTGGAGCAGTCTCATATTTCTTTATTCATCCTATACAGTCACCAGTCTGATACTGGGGGCTAAGCGATCCTACTGAGTGTTAAGGCTCACTACTGCTAGTCATAATACATTGACTTTTCTTCCTTTCCCTTTCTCCTTTAGGCAGGAGGTAATAAAGTTCCAGTTCACTAAGTTGAAACGTTGGTTCTGAGAGCATCTGCTCTAGATCTAATTAAAGAGCTTTGGGTTAAATTAGAAGAATCTAATCCTTCTCATAGAACCCATTAAGGTTTACCCCTAGAACACCACTGGATGACTTCCATGATCCTTTTTAATTTTAATAGTCCATTAAATGGTAAAAAGGTATGAGCTGATGAGGACATGGCTCTTTAGTAGTAGCTCATCCTAACTTGTTTTTGTGTGTGTGTTATTTTTAAAGATTTTATTTATTTATTTATTTGAGAGAGAAAGCGAGCACATGAATGGGGGAAGCAGCAGAAAGAGAGGAAGAAGCAGACTCCCCACTGAGCAGGAAGCCTGACTCAGGGCTCGATCCCAGGACACCCAGGAGCCCCCATCCTAACAGGTTTTTTAAATTCCCATTTCTAGGGTCAAATACTAACCAATCTGCTAATTTCTTCTTGTCTATCTGGCGCAGATCTTGCTGTTGCTTTGATCATAGTGGAAGTCTGATTGTCTGTTAGCTTCTTGATACATCGTTGCCCTGCCACAATATTACAGACCTACAAACAGAAAAAAGTTTTGTACTAGATGTATTTATCTTTTTTTAACTCTCATTGCCAATTACATGCAAAATTAAAATTTTAAAACCTACTTCACTAAACTGCTTCTTTTTAATATCATGTTAAGTAAAATAGTAGTAAACAATACTGTTTTACAGTATGATTATAACAGGGTAAAATGTACACTGGATAAAAAGGCTGAAAAGAAGTGTACCAAAATGTTAACAGTGGTTACTTTAGAGTGGTAGGATTGTGGATGAAAATTTCCCTATTACTTCATTATTAAAATTTTAAAATAAAATAAAAATTAAAAAAGTTCAATATCCAAAATAACTTGAGAGCATGAAGTAAATTATACACCATAAAAATACCCAAAAGAATAATGAACAAGAGGATGTTAAAAATCAGCCTAAATACATTACTTCTAGTGGCAGGTAGGTATGTTTCTGTTCCTGCCCCACTTGCAGACAAGGAAGATGTGGGTACTTCAGCTGAAGAGTATACTTTTCTCTAAAATACTGTGCTACTGTTCTCTCCACAGTTTGGCCATTTTCTAACTGTAAAGGAAAGCTGAAAAAAAAAAAGTACACATTAACAACTCTCATCTCATTATGGTGAGCAAAACTCCCAATCCACTAACTAGAGCAAGCTGCCTCACATCAATTTCTGCTCTGACAAACACCAGCTTTTCTTACGTTTGATGACTGGCAGGCCTTCTTGTTACATTACAAACACGGTATTTCCGTCTCATTGTTCCACAATGAGTCACTTCAACCTTCAGACCTGTTCCCAACAAGAAAAACTGAAGTTATAAAAATGTCACATGTCGAATATTTATAAAACCTGTTCACTACTATACAAACTCAAATTCTAACAGACAGAAAAGTCTGTGATACAGGCAATGTGATATTAATAAAAGATTTTATAAATGACATTGCTAGTAAGGATTACAACCATGATAGATCTAATTCCAAACATTTTTTCCCTATCCTATCAAGCTCTACACACTAAAAAACAGAATCATAAAACTTGCAAAAGCCTATAGAACAAGGGGCAAAGTTCTCCATTAATTGAAAAAAAAACAACCCTGTTTATAATAAATTTAGGTATTTATGCTGGGAGAAGGAAGGAGGAGTGAAAGACGAGTTGTAATAATTCTCAACATTCCTTATAATTTTCAAAGTATGTGATATTTGAATAGACAGTCATCACATAGTGACTAAAGATTAGAATTTCATGAATCTCTCGAAGGAAGTCCTTCAAAGATTTTTAAAGTAGGAAGAAAAAAATTCCAGGCCCTTTTAACAGAAGCAGAATGACAATTTATTTGAAGTATAAGATAGTGACACAGTTCTCTTACTACTATCAGAAATTAAATGCAACCAAAACAATTCTTAGAGCAGGTGATCCCTACCTTCTTATACAATCACTGACCCCTTTGAGAGTCTGATGAAAGCAATAAACTCTCAGAAAACTGGATATACACATAATTTAGCATATGATTTTAGGTGTTTCTGGATCCTTAACAGTCCATCTGTGGACCACAGGAGTTTGAAGATCCCAGGCCTGCTTTAGAAAGTGAAGCAATGGTCTTTTAAACCACTGGTGAAATTCCCTGGGGTTAATTTTCTTAAGCAGTGCTGTCCAATAGAACTTTCTGAGATGATGGAATGTTCTACATCCGTGCTAATTACTAGCAATATGTGTTATGGAGCACACTAAATGTGGCTAAGTGAAAATTTATTTTAATTTAATTTAAATAGCTACATGCGGCTGGTGCTACTGTATTTGCCAGTGCAATCTCCAAGCTACCTAGAGAAGAGTTAACAAACCGACACAGTGGCCACTGCTTATAGATAAGCAACTCCATTACTATGGCCTAGACACCTAAGGCAGAAAATCTAGAAGGAGTAGATGAAGGACAACTTTTAGTTTCCTGATAGTATTTATGGTATTACTTTTGCATTATTTCCCTGTTATATTTGTGATTCCTATTGTGTAGTGGTTCTCAACCACAGGCAATTTTGCCCTCCGGGGAACCTTTGGTAATGTCTGGAGACATTTTTAATTGTCATGACTGCGGGGTGCTATTGGCATCTAATGAATGCTAGAATTAGGGATTCTTGGATCCAGGGATGATGCTAAATATCCTACAATGCACGGGACAGCACTACCTCCCACCTCAGACCACAACAAAGAATTATCCAGCCCAAAATATCAACCCTGGCGAGGTTGAGAAACCCTGCAACAGTGTAACTTATTTTTCTATCTAATTACTAACTGCAGTACCAAACACAAAGTTCATTCACAGTAATATTTTCTTCTGTCCAGCACAAATTAAGATGTTAAATGGACACAGTGTCACTGTACCAGATTGGTATGGATTTTTCTTGAGAAATACTAACTGAATCAGTGGTTAGTAGTTTTTATTAGTAATTACCTTTATAAAACTAAAATTTCAGATTAGAACATTTACTATGCCTCTATATTATAAAGAAGACTAGAAAATAAAATATTATCTAAAGAAGGCCTCATAAGAAGGAAATGTGAAGTAAGCAATATGAAGTAACAATATGAAGCAGGATGTAAAAATATTATGTATGGAAATACTATGTTTTAGAATTATTTTTCTGCTATCTATACCACTTAGCAATTTTTTTACAAGTCTTCCCCTGAATTAGAGAAGTTACTAGTAAGATTCTAATAGCCTACAAAATAAGTTTTTACCAAAAATAAAGTGGTTCTTTTATAAGCATATGGTACTTCTACCATACACTTCCCTCAGTATTTCTGTTTAACCATGATGAATAATTGTACAAAGGAACCACCCTAAAGTTACTGTTAAATATTTAGATAAAAGTCTAACTGGAGCCAAATGAACGTACTAAGGAAATCTATTCATTACAGCACACTTTGTATCACTATTTAACAGTTACCATCAAATTCCTTAATGCTGGTTAAAAATTAAGCCCAAATATGTAGCACAGAATACATAACTCTGATTCTCTTGAATTTCCATGGTAGGATTACATGATATATGTTAAAGAACTTGCTTTTAAAAAACAACAACAACAACCCCCCCCCCAAAAGTCAACAAAGCCTTTGTGACTTTGAATGGAGGAAAAAAAATCATCAGTTGGTCAGTTAGATCCAACTCAGATTTTTCTACCCCAAATCTAGGGTCATAGGTGCCTAAGGATTTGACCCAACCCAGGGCTTAGCAAAAAGTTAAAATTTTAAAAAATGGACTAGATAATTCTCTGCCCAGGTCCCTCCCAAAACCCTCCATCCAACCAAAAAAATTTTTGGCTTTAATAAATCAAATATTTAACCTATAAACTTGGCTTTACCTTCACTATAACATCAACTTTATAATGCTTTCTAGTCATTTTTTCAGTCATTTCTTTGGGCCCCTGAGCAGTTGAAGTTAAGATCGAGTCCATGCTCTTCGGGCAGCAGTTGCATCCTTGTTCTGTACATCTTGTATTTTCTGTGATAGAGTGGTGATATGAGTTGATTGCATAGTTACCGCAAAATAATGTAAGTGACTTCATGATATCAGAGGTGGTAACTAAGCAGCAACTCCACTGGAAACCATGGCATTTGGATGATCACACATTAATGGTGGGTAATGCACTAACCTCTCGACAATGCTAACTGTGCAGTTAATACAGATTATGAAAGGACAATGGTATGGTTGCAATACACTAATATATAACACTTTATTATTTTGGCATTTAACTAACTTGAGATAAATGGATGCTCATTTTCAAAGCAGGAAGGATTTTCCTTTTAATGTTTTATTAACAATGGCTATCTTTCTCCTGGGTACTGAATGGCAAAGAATGAATGATTATTGGAGCAAGCAGGATGCATTGAGCTATTCTGATTTGGGGAACTGAAAGATGTTCAGTTAACAAACTTCAATGTTTCATTCAAACCAGAAGCTGAAAATTATCTGCAACAGTTAAAATCTGAAATAAAAAAACTATTTCTAAGATTTAACACTTAATATAAATAGAATTTATACTACTCATTCTAATTAGAGAATATCTAATCTTCTTCATGCCTAAATAAAGAACTAAATACAGTGGAGTCACATCTTACTTGAGGATTAGGTTCTAAGCTGTGAACAAGGCAAGAATTTTACACAATCAAAATTACTCTTGAAAAATTCCTTAAATTACTGATAAAGTGTTTATGTGTTTGCATACTAAACTGTAAATGTATACAGAAATGTACATTTATATAAAGATGAAATAAATACAATACAAATTTTAGAACATTATTAAAATTACTTTTTCTTATTCTCTCTAAAAAACCACGTAGAGATGAATTTATGTTAGTAAAATATATATAGGATGCAACACCACTGTACAGATCTTAGCTACTAACTAAAATAGGCAAGATCAATGATCAACTATATAATGTACACAAAACAACGAAGTTCCAACTCTGAAATAACACATGAAACAGGCTAGCCCTGTATCCATAAAGTTTCAAAGAAATAAAATATTCAACCATTTCAGAAAAATAAGGAAGTCATTATTTTAGAATATGTTAAAATAATGACTCCAGTTCTGACATGACAATGTTTTTGGAATGTTTCCTTTTAACAGTATTATAGAAACATTTTCCCATGAGATATTCTTCTTATACTTTTAGCTAGTAACAGCAAGTATTAATGAAAAATTCACTGGTATCAATATTCATTTCATTACTTGGCATTTCTTTCATTCAAACACTAAGATGTAATGGCAATGAATTTAATGTAACATTTTATAAGCTATATTTTCACAGATGATGTTATATGAATAGACTTAAAAAATTTTTTTCAATAAAAGTTTGTTATATTCATGCATTTTATAGTTAAGTTGTTCCAAATGCTAATTAATTCACCTTTTATCTCTTTGGTGAATTTTACTCGATGAGAATCAGTCAGAGGTCTTGGTTGCTCATCAATATTATGAATGTCAAGAACTTCACACATGAACTGAATTACAGGTTGTGCTTTGTAGAAGGCAGTGGCAGAAACTAAAAAGAAAAACACAAATAGTACGTGTTAATGTTTCCATAAAAAAATTCAGAAACTTGTGTTCAGTTTCATGATAATTAACTAATTATAGAGTTATAATTATCCTTTATGCATACTTATATATATAAAAAAGCATTGCTGAATTGAGCAGTTTCAATTGGACAGCTATCTGGAAAACAGGCACAAGAACAGAAAAGCTAAATCCTACAGTTTTTTATAATCTAGCTTTCTTCATGGGTAACTGAATAATACCATTCTCTGCTACATATACAGAGTGTGTTCTGGGTATGAGACAAGGCCTGTAAAGGAACAAATGCCAGAGCCCCTTAAGATGAAAAGGTTAGGTATTATTTCCTAAAGCTTTCTATGCCACCCTGGCCTGTTAATCTATTCTGGTGAAAGCTTTCCCTGTCTTGTAGAGAGGTCTGAGAAGAGAGTGGTATTACATGTTATTGGTGCTAATCCAAACTATAGGAAATAATAAGTAAAGAATATCTGCCTCCCCCAAAAAAGAGTATCTGCCCAATGTCATCTAGCTACAGTTGGTTGTTCTCTAAGAGCCAACCACAATGATTTCTTAATCTTGGGCTTCAGAATTGAAAGAGCTTCACCAGTGGTTAGATCACCATCACTCATTTCTTAAACACATACTTACTGGGAAAGCAGAAAAATAACATGATAGTGTGTAGCTTCCTGTCTGTTTTGGTTTTGCTTTTCACTGTATCCCCAGTACCTTTATAGCACAAAACAGACAGGAAGCTACACACTATCATGTTATTTTTCTGCTTAAAAAACATGCCTATTGTCTGCTAAGTGTAAACATTTTATGTAGTGCTCTTTCTCTCCCTCTCCTTGGTTTAAGGATTAAATGTTCTCCACAAAATGTCCCTCACCTCTGGGAGGATGTTTATCAAGGCTTTAACAGTAGTTATCTCAGGATATGTGTGGGTGGTAAGGCTACTATGGATGTTTTTTATTTTCTTCTTTTTAATTTTATATCTTCACTTATTATAATAGGCACATATTACTTTTTCCTTTAATCCAGCATATATGAATGATGTCTCATCATAAAAAATGCAGATATACAGAATAAAGATTCCCTCCCAACTCAACTTCTGCCCCTCCAAGTATCTTTAAGAAATAACCATCATTAAGGGGCGCCTGGGTGGCTCAGTTGGTTAAGTGACCGACTCTTGGTTTCCGCTCATGATCTCTGGGTCATGAGATAGAGCCCTGCATCAGCTCAGCGCTCAGCGCGCAGTCGGCTTGAGATTCTGTCTCTGCCCCTCCCCTGGCTCACGTGGGCTTGTTCTCTCTCAAATAAAATCTTAAAAAAAAAAAATTATTAGTTAAGTATGTACATATCCTGCTTTTTTGATATGCACTTACAAAGATTAGAATGTACACGGAACTTTTTTTTTTATTAAGTAAGCTCTTTACCCAACATGAGGCTTGAACTCATGACCTTGAGATCAAGAGTTGCATGCTCTGTGACTGAGCCAGTCAGGCGCCCCCATGCGACTTCCTTTTTACATGAGATCAGATAATAAATGTTCCATGATTCGTTTTATTATTTTTTAAATTAACAGTATGTCTTAGAGATCTTTCCATGTCAGTACATTCTTTTTAATGGCCTCATATTATTCCACAGTATCAGTGCATGATAGTTAAGTGAATATATACTCCCTTTCCCTCTTAATAAAAAAGAACACAAATGGTAAAACATTAGAAACACTATTCTGGGCTTTGATCTTTTTTTCTCATTAGAGGTCTTACAGATCAATCAACCTACCTACCTACCTACCTACCTATCTATGGAACCATATCATTTTTTTCACCCTTCGGGATATATCATTACATGGATGTACTTCACGTCCCTAATGATGGATCAATAAGTTGGTTTTAATATTACAAAAAATTTTCCAATGGATGTCCTTATATATATTTATTTGCCTGTGGGTGTCTGTACGTGTGCACATCCATGAGTACTTCTGTAGGGAAGATTTAAGAGAAAACAGTACTCATTGCTAAACTTCCAACCAGATAAACTTTACAATCACCTCCACAATTTCTAACTAATAAAAAAAGAGATTGATAAGATTATTTTAGCATTCTATCTTTTTTTATTTAAGTAATCTCAACACCCAAAGTGGGGCTCGAACGCAATACCTTGGGATCAAGAGTCGCATGCTCTTCCAACTGACCCAGCCAGGTGCCGCAGATTGTATTAGCATTCTAGGTATCTTATTCAAATCCATAGTAGTTCCAAAAATGTATACATTGGAGCACCTGGGGGGTGAAGTTGGTTTAGCATCCAACTCTTGGTTTTGGCTCAGGTGGTGATCGCGGGGTCGTGAGATCAAGCCCCGCCTTGGTTCCATGCTCAGCAGCAGAGTCAGCTTGAGCTTCTCTCTCCCTCTGACCCTCCCCACCGTATGCTCACTCTCTCTCTTTCAAATAAATACATCTTTAAAAATATATATACATTATATTATTCTAATAAAGACGTGAGAATATTTTCATGTATTAAAAAAAAGCTGACAGGACACATCAAAACAAGCATATACTGCTTCTGGGTTAATTTTTTAAAAGTAAATAGGTAAAGGAAAATAAAAATATGGTAAGTAACATGCTTATTTGCCTTTCCTTTAATCCTTCAGGTAAGTTTTCTTCACTAAACTGTTATAACATTAGCATTCACAACTAATGTATCTTACATCACTGAATTGCAACTACTAAACAAACATTATTTATCCTTTTTAACATTCTTCAATTATTTTAAACTTCCCTACTGTTTATACCACTGTGCTCCTAATCATTTTACGTTTATCATCTTCTCTACAGGAATGTGGGCATTTCAGATGAAAATAAAAGTTAATTAAAAAAATTTTTTTTAACAAAAGATGGGTTGAAATCAGTGAGTACACCTGAATTAGGAGTTAATTTCAATGAGCAAAGATCTGCTTCTCTCTGCTGAATCTTTAACATTTTATAAGCCTAAGTATATAGGCATTTTATTCCTTCTTGCCCTTTCAAAACTAAGCTAACTGAAAAGAAATGTTTATGTTTAAAATTTAATCTATTAACAAAACACCCCTATAATGTATAAAAGGAAATAGCATACAACCATTTCTACAAATGATGATCCAAAAAAAGCATTAAATAAAATTCAACACCATAGCTAATACTTATACTGTATCAGGACCAGAAAAGAATTTCCTTAATTTGATAAAAGTTATCTATCAAAAATCTACGGTAAATTCAGCTTCATTTATTAGAATGTTCTAGTTAGTGCAGTAATACAAGTTAGAGAAATAAAAGGTACAAAGACTAGAAAGGGAAAATTATTTTTCTTCACAAATATGATTACCTACATAGAAAACCCAATAAAATCTACAAATTAGAGAATTAATGAGAGTTAAGCAAGGTTGCTAGACTTAAGGTCCATATATGAAAATAGGTTACCTTCTTGTATATATTGGCAATCAACTTAAAATGTAATTCAAAAAAAATACAAGTTAAAATTACAACAAAAAACAGTAGGACTTGGGATGAAATCCAAACAAAATATGTATAAGACCTAGAGAAGTAATAGGTATCTTTTTTGGGGGGGAGAGAAGTAATAGGTATCTTTGCTATTGGAAAATATTACAGAAGATTTAAAAAATGGAGTAATATACCTTATTCACGTAAGTTATTCCCAAATTAATCTGCAAATTCAAAGCAATTTCAATCAAAATACTGACCGGATATAACCCCCTTGACCTCTGGAAATTAAGAAGCACATCCTAAAATTAACACAAAAAAGCAACAAAACAAGAATAGCCAAGACAGTTTTTAAGACTGAGGTCTGTCCTGTCATTCATCAAGATTTATTATAATCCTTTTCAAGTCAAGAGACTGTGAGGATACACAGACTAGCAGAACAGACTTGAAAGCCTTCCTCACACTATATACAAATTCCTGTTCAGAGAACTACGTAGGAAAAGAAAAATAAGCATTTAGAAGAAAATATAGAGTATCTTTATGATCTTGGAGGTAAGAAAGAATTTCTTAAACAAAGATACAAAAACTACAAACCATTGAAACTATAAAAATTTTTAAAAATATATAAACTATAAAAAACTATAAACAAACTATGAAAGAAAACTGTAAGAAAGAAACCCACAAAGCAAAACAAACAAAAAACAACCAAACCCCAGGCTATAGATTGGTAGAGGACATGTGTAGTACCTCTAACAAATAGTTTAGAATATGTAATGAGTTCCTAAAATCAAGATAAAATAAAAGTGGCAAATGACATCAGCTGGCATTTCATAAAACAGAAACCTAAATGTCAAAACCCATAAATCTTCCTGAATTATCTTATGTGTAATTAAGGAAATACACATAAGAATACTGACCTATCATTTTACACCATTCAAGATGGGCAAAGAATTTCAAGACCTAGAACACAAACTGACAAGCCAATGGAAAATTGAAAGCTCTTGTGCAAACTGTAGGGATATAAACTGATACAGTTAGGAGAGAAAACAGTAACATACAATAAATTTGAAGATATGCTTAATTTTTAATCCATCAGTTCCACTATATTGAAATACACTCTAGAGAAATTCCTTATCTGCAAAAGGAGGCATGAGTAAGAATGCTTATTTTAGGTTGTTTTTAACAGTAAAAAGAATGGAAACAACCAAAATATCCATTAGTAAAATGGATAAATTTGGAGTATATGCATATAATTAAAATTGACTAGGCAGCTGTTAGAATTCAGATAAATAAAACTGAGAAATAAAATACAGACACTATTGAGAGGACTTTGGTCCTCTCAAAGTCCTGGAAAAGGAGATACTGTCTACTACTTAGACTGCCAGTATCTAAATATGCATAATCTACAACTAAGGAAAAAGAAATTCACGAAAAAAAACTATGTCTAGAATACCAGTAGGATAGACTTTCAATTCATCAACACAGATGTCTGAATTTATTAAGGTCATTTAAA